TTTTGGCGTAAAACTATTGGAAGGATTTCTGTCTGTGAAAATTCATCAAACGCTCGTCAGTCCTAAGTTTCCATTACAAGTAGTAAGTGTCTTTCATTTTTTGTTTACAGGAATTTGGTTGGTTATATACATCTTTGTGACTAGCAGCCGAATCAAGGACGCGCGTTTTGTTCTATTTGGGACTTGTCAGCTGGATGTATCTGCACCCCAGTGAGTGGTATCGTTCCCACTGAGTCTCAAAACCAGTACCATCGCTTCAAACTCTAGTGTTATCTAGTCCGTTGGTTGGTTGCTTTTTGAAAGTAAAGTGCTGTTTTTAACGCTCTGTCAGAAACAGGAGTTCAGAAGTGATTCAAGAGATGATTAAGTTATTATGACATCAAGTTTTTTACGAACTATATAACTCGACTTCAAGAAAAAGTTGAATGTGCTTACTGGAAGAGGATATTTCATGCAATGCTTCGTAAGAAAAACCTTTACTTTTGAGACCAGACGAAGTTAAGCAGGAAACAAGTTGTTGCAGTTAACAGAATGTTTCTGAATGCTTTAACGACATTCCCTGAAGACCCTCAGTATTTTTTCAGATTATTATCATGAACTAATGCAACTAACCCTTATTTTGACGTAATTAGTGCTCAAAAGTAAGCTTCTTCCCAGATTCAAGGATTTTTAAGGCTGCAATACAGCTGCCAAGTAAAGAAGCGTATTATCTTTCTCTCTTTGTAGGTTTCTGATAAACCATCTAGACACAAAATGAAAGTGATGAAGAGGTGGAGTTCAGCTTAGCATTGACGCTGATATTTGATTCATTTCCAGTTTCTTGCAGTGACTTGCAAATTCATATTTCTTTTTATTGAGAAAGTCTTTTTGATCATTTTAATTTGAGAAGGTATCGTATTAGCGGAGTGTAACCCAGTCTACATAGTTGGATTTATTTGTTAATACTACTCCACCATCTTTTATATCGACATGATCACACTTTTTACTTTGCCCTATATCATTCACTAAACCCGATGTGGTCCACTATAATCAGGTTTACTACTGATGTACAAAGTAATTGAAAGCAGCTGGTACGAAGTAAACTAAACTTCTCCTGAACATGAGATTTACATCTCTGTTTACCTCAAGCAAGTTGAGATATCTATGACTTTCCATAAATTTCTGCATGCAAGAAATTATCTACTTGGTATTTTCACGATGACTGTCTTTCTGTTATCTATGCATTACCGTTAACAAGCAGTTCGTTCCACATAAAACTATCCACTACTTTCAGAAATGTTTTTCAAAAGTTTGCAATTCTTAGTAGTCCATATACAAGCTTCGTTACTGAGTTAATAGATGGTTTATACTGGAAAATATGGTATATTTATTGCCTAATATAAGACTTTTCACTTTGATATACATGCAACCCGGTACAACGATGTTAATCTGTGTAAACCTGGTCTAATAATCCACTTAGTTCTTCATTGTAATGCTAAGTGGTAAACGTCTTTTACCGATGAGTCATCGGAGAGATGAAACTGATGGCGTGAATTATAATTAAATTAAAAAGCAGTGAAAAGTTACGAAGATTGGATTAACTCTTTTACACTTGAAGAGCACTTACAAGCCACTTTCGCATCGTGAAGCTTTATGGCTCACTGAATTTCTGCTATTTGAAGTCGTAAAGATTTCTTTGTGGTGTGCTCGTTGTAATGCTGAAGCTGTAGGATGTCAGCACACAGTGAATAGTTAAACGTAGACGGCATTGAACTGAAGATCCAAATGTCATTTATTCAGTCTCAGGTTCCAAGACTTAAGATAACTTCGCATCAAACAAAACAATCTGATATGGAATTATATTTCGCTGAGCAGTCCGAATTCTGAAGGTGAATAATTTTTTTCAAACGACTTTGCATAAGATTATCTAAGTCGTAACGCAAGAAATTATTGTTTCAGTAAAACAGTGGAATTTTAGTAGGAATAGAATTTAGGCAAAGTGGTTAAGTTTAATTTCAATGAGTAGTTTTTTCCCATATGTATTACACAGCGAGACGGTATTGTTTACTGAGGATGATTCTATCAGAACTTATTCCTCGTAATCATATCATACCAGCTTGATATGACTAAAAGCAATAGATCTCGCTCAAAATCCATCCAGTAAATAATGTAGTTTCACTAAGAGGTATGTATAAAAACTGGGGAATTTTGTTTCCCGTCTATCTAATCTGGGATATAAAAGCTTTTAAAAAGTCAACTATACCAAGTGCAGTGCTAATTGTCATAAAAAGGGATTATAAGGCATTTTAAGGCAAAGTGAAAATAATGCTACGCTGCGCTTTTTTTTATTGTTTGTGGACCTCATCTTTGATTCCAAGACAGTCTGAAGTCTCGAAATGCCAAATCTCTACAGCTCAGTCCTGCGAACCGAAAACAGGTTTTGCAAAGAGACGTTAAATTTTAAGTACGACCCGTCATTTCCTTCTCTGCAATTACAATCTGAATTTATAAGAAGAACAATAGAATACAAAAGCCGCGGTGCAGTGACACTCGCTGGTTTAAAGTTTTACATCAAAACATCTTGAATGACTAATTCAAGAATTAATCTGCAACACTTCGTAGACTTAAAAATACATGTTAATGTTTTTCCAAACTCACACTGGTCAACTTCAATTGAACATTTAACAGCTTTGAGAAGGAATACGCAACAAGGTATCATTTAGCTGTAGGAAAAATTCTGCCCAATATAATGGGTTTCGTTAGAAATATTTGGTCATTACATGAATACTTATGAAAGATGGAAAAAATCTAAGTCTTTGCAAGATGATCTAAAGTTTCTTCCTTTTAGGAGTTAAGTGTTGCATTTGAGCATTTTGATGACTGGAAAGTTAAAAAGACACTTTGAAAATAAAAGATGTGAATGTTTTAGGGTCTACGGTGGAACATTCCACCATTTTTGTCATTAAATGCAAATCTTAGGTTCATATACACTACTCGTGTAATGAAATACAATCGATTCTCTTGAATTTTTGGTCACTTAGCTATTGTTAGCTTCAGATCAACCAGCGTCAATAAAGATTGAGTAAAGATAAGTAATTAATAGCGTGTAATGTCAGGGATGTATTTATGAACTGTAGTCAGAGTGACCGAAAAAATAAAGGTAGTAAATGTATACAACTGACTTGTTTTAGTTGTTTGCACCTTATATGCATTCAGCAGAAAACATCTGAATTTATATCCTTGAATCAAAATCTAAACAAATGCTAAAATATTTTTGCTATAAAATCACCAAAATTTCAAAGAACTCTGAAGATTAAACAAGAAAGCATAGACACTAGTAAAAATCTGAAAAAACGACCATTGTTTTTCTTGAACCAGTTGGTTACAATGATCCAGTGGTTGAATGCAGTGACTAGAGTGTATTAAATTCTGAATGTTGTATTTTAAAAGTTTATTTACCTATACGTCACACAAACTTGAAAATCTACAGGCGAAAACTAACAAGTTGATAGAAGAGGCAGCGAAGACAGGACTTCAGGTGAATATAAAGAAGACAGAAGTGATGAAGATACCACACCACCACCATCAACAACAACAACAACAAACTCCAATCACCGTCAACGGGAGAAACTTAAAGGAAGTAACCTCCTTCACCTATCTAGGAAGCACTGTCTCAACTACAGGCGGGACGGACGAGGATGTCAAAGTCAGAATCGGAAAAGCAAGACAGGCGTTGATTAGCCTGAAACCAGTGTGGAGATCTTCTGCACTCAGCATGTGGAACAAGATACGGATTTTCAACACCAACGTCAAGTCAGTGATTCTGTATGGCTCAGAGACTTGGCGCGTCACGAAAGGTATTTCCAATAAACTACAGACATTCATCAACAACTGTCTACGCTGTCTCGCTACTGAAGATCAGATGGATTGCCAGAAAGAATAAGCAACAAGGAGCTCTGGGAACGAACCAACCAAGAACCTACCACGCAACAAATATGCAGGAGGAAGTGAAGATGGATTGGGCATTCACTGAGAAGGCCGACTGAGGACATCATGCGCCAGGCCCTCGAGTGGAATCCCCATGGGAAGCGACGAGTTGGGAGTCCGAGGTGAGGGTGACATGGAGGAGGTCGTCCGAGGAGAAAATGAGAGGTTGTGGGCTGTCGTGGAGCCAGGTTCAAAAGATCTCAGAGAACAGAATTCACTGGAGGCGTGCTAGTGAAGTCCTATGTTCCACTAGGAACCCAAGGGACTAATAATAATATAAATAAATAATTTACCTGTACGGTTAAGACATGAAGTCGAATTTGGAATTTTTGACCTGCTTTTCAGTATAAAGGGAAGCAGTAAGCCTATTTCACAGAAATGTCTCTTGCAAAGAACACATGGTCTGCTAGTCGTAAAACTTTAAGTTTCAGTGTGTAAACAGGTCTTTGTTGAAGTAGATATGCTTAATATAAAACGTCATTCTTGTTACCATCTAATAAGGCTTCTCACTTTATTTAGTTAAACTGGGCCTGAGAAACAAATAGGTTAACAATTATTGCACACACACTCGCCAAGGTAAGTCAGCTTACAAGAAGTATTTAAAGGATTCCATCCAGTTTTTGGCTTCTTCGAAAAGCTATTTAAGTCATTGTTAGCCTAAAGGGAAAATCTTAAATCATCTACTCAACAAATTGCGTACTTCAAATACTTTTATTGACTGAGACCCTAAAAAACAAACATTCACCAGATTTATTGCCTGATGAACACGTACACTTACAAAACCCATCTCTAACTCTGCTTATTTCCAAACTCAGAATACCTAGCGACAAGCATATTACAGCATAGCTCTATGTTACTTAGAAATCTCAAACTTGACCGACAGACTGCATTCAACACTTAGGATTTGAGAATTGAACTGGTTACTATTCGTCAAACAACTCATATTTTCTTGATCAGTAACTTAGTATATTTCGATTCACATTCTAACATCAAGTTCTATCATAAAGATTTCATTTCAATATAACAAGGTGTGTCATTGATATAGATTTTTATATCCATTTCAACTTCTTCAAAATAAGCACAAAACTCTGTATGAAAGGTAAATCCTCAGGACGGTGACTTCGAAATATATGCATACATAAGGTTTGTCGTAAAGCAGCTATGTCGATTCCATAGGAAGCATAAAAACATGGCTATAAAATCACACACATTAATATGCATCTCTAATATAAGATTATTCAGTTTACCTACAGAGTTCTTCCTTATCATATAAATCAAATCTCATGTGAAATTAACTTTCATAGAAAATCTTATTGAGTATGTAATCAGTGCTTAGAGAAAAAAATTTTTCAAACATTTTATAGATTCTATCGAAAAAAAGTTGTATAACACTACTAAGATTGTACAATTTCAAAAAATGTAAAGCAAATAAAATTTTGAGGTAAAGAAAGAAATAGTATTTCAACAGGTAGATTGTAGTCAAGTTATTCAATTATCAACTTGATTTTTCATTCTTAAAGTTGACAGCATAATCTGTTCACACATATGTGGAATAAAATTTTCTTTTGAAACATATGGAAGTAAATGCATGGCTCAAATTGTATATGAGTTAACTGTAAATCTATTCTTAAAAGGAAATTGAAAAAAGATACAGACATTAGTGCATTATTCTAGGCTTAGAAATAAAAATCAGTACTTCGACGAAATTTATATTCTTAGTTTCTGTAATATAGTTATAGTGGGAAAAGTAGCCGTCAAGCCTAAAGCTATGAATGTTAACTTACCTGAAATGTTAACCGTTATCTGATTCGAACAGAAATTTTTGGTTATCTACCTATTTCATTCATAATCCATTTGCCCAATGCCTAACTTATTCGGGACTTATTTGGGAGCCTGAGAGGATTTTAAGGATTTCAGGTTGGTATTGATCCTGAACTGATATCAGCTGAAGAGACCTTGGAAACCTGAGAGGACTGGGCCACTGCTTCTTCCTAGTATGAGACTCCTCCGAATTACAAGCCCGTGACCCTACCACTAATCGAACCCAGAACCTTCAGGTTCCATTGGCAGCAAGTGACTCAATTCTTTCAGGTCAAACTTTGATCCTTAAGTTGACTAAACGATTTCAAGTTATTTTCTATTTCTATTCAGCATAAGCTGCAGAACCATGAATATCTAGGAGCAATGAAAATCTGTCTCGTCCCAGTCAAGGCTTCATCATCATCATCATTCAGGATTTCAAGGGGTTGTTGAGTCTCGATTGGTCAGGTATTGCCATAGTGTGTTACCATTGGCGACGGAGTTGGGATACAATGGTCTTCAATTCTTATATTTTCACCTTTGGTCCAGAAACCTTTAGGAACCACAAATTTTACTCAAAATTTGTTTCGATTAGTCAACGAGTTCCAACTATTTGTTTTAACCTTATCGATACTCTTATTTCCTTTTTTTGCTATCCACAAGTCTTTATATACAACAGAAATTGGTACAAATCGTATAGTAGTGTTAGTTGTATTCACAAATGACACTTATTATGAAACCACTGAAAGCAAGACGGTACAGAATACATCTTTTGTTTTATTTTGGGGCTCATTGAAAGCGTACACCTACAACCTAAACCACAATTTAACTGATGACAATAAGATCTCGAATCCACTGTATACAGCCAGACTTCACTAAAATCTGATGTCCTCTTTCTGTAAAACGTCAGCTTTACGGTAATTTAATCATTTAATGTTACGTCCGCTATTTCACATGAAAATGTCAATCAATGAATTTCTACAAAAGCAACAACTAAGACGAAATGCTTCCTTGCGATCAGTTGTTCCCTAACTGATATCCAAGTCATTTTTCGATGGATTGGTTGTTTTCTTTATAAAATAGTGGGTATCTTTTTTAGTACTAATGAAAGATGGTGTTTTGGACACGGTAACTTCCAGCTGATATGGGAAGACGATGAAAATGAAACAGAATTTATTCATCATAATATTGTACCACAACATTCATGGTGTATATTTTGTTAGAAGATCAATTAATCGGATGATTACAAAAGGAATTACTTCATAGTTGTGCAGCTTGTTATGTTCCATCACATTTAATCAGTTGAGATTGATTTAGACGCCAGAAAGTAGTTGTATATGAAGAAGAATACCTCATGAAACGGTGATACATGTAAGCATTACTAGTCTTCCGCTTTTCTTATTAATTATCATTTTAACCGTCAGGGAGAGTTTTGAAACTATCTCTAATAAAGTGTTTCAAGCGTTTTTGATAAATTTTGATCTTTTACTATTTTTCCTAATGACAGTGTACCTTCAGTTGTAACTAACGACTATTTACAAACTAAAGGTGCTAATAAAAGCTTTAGCTTAACTCGTCTAATACAGAAGATAAGTGAATATTTTTGGGGTTCAAATAACAAAATATTGGTTATTGACTTCCAGTCATTCCTCATTTTGTGTCCCCGTTGAAATAACTTCAAAATCTTTCTCGAATCATTTGAAACCACGTAAACTAAGCATCATAAAGATGAATAAGTAGTATTGCGATTAACACACAAATTTTGTGACATAAAACATCCATTTGTTTCAAATAGGACTCAGTCATCAGGACTCCATATACATTTGCATTACCATGAACTAATTCTTCGATTAGATTATTTAGAACAAATCGTCACAACAATTTCTCAAAAAGCAAAGAGCAAACAAGACAAATAAAACCTTCAGGCTCTTCGTTTTGAAGTAACTTCTTCATGAAGTATTAAAAAGGCAAGCATTGCCTTATAATGAAATATTTCCTTTTTAAGGTATTTGCTTTGGTATACTGGCTGCTTAGTTTACAGCAAAATCAGGGCAAATGACTTCTTTTTTTATGACTGCAAAACATAAAATTTGTGTCACTTATTTCAACTGGTAAAACCTAAACTCCATTGGCGGCGGATTTCGCTACTGTCTACTGACTAATTTGTATACAGAATCTTGTACAACAAGTGGTAAATTGTGATTGGAATAGTCTAGTGGTGAAGTTTCTAATTTTAACATCAAGCATAGCAGTTTTGATTTTTTAAGACGACTTGCCTAGTTATCTCAGTACACGATAGGTGCCTTGCCAACGAGTGCCAATAGATATGAAAAAAGACGTTAAATTTGGTCCATAGACTTAAAGAAGTATGACACGGTCTTGAATTTGTGAAATAAATTACTGATAGCTAGTTCCATGTGGAAAATATTCTCCTTATAAAATCAGTAGTCTTTGTTTAAAAGAGGCACTTTTGAGTCATTTATACAAACCTGTAGAACTTTGCGAATAGAAGCTTAGGTGGCACTTTAGAATTCTGATGTACTATAATAATTTTTAGCTGACCTGGAAGTGATTCAATAAAGAGAAAGTAGAAATGTGGTCATCCTTAGCATGCGTTTATATTGTACACTATATTGTCGAATGTTGATATGCTCCTCATTTATGTCGATGACATAAAATACTTACTGAATGCAAAACTTCGGTTATGGATTACGCTTTGTCAACGTTGTAGGACTAAGTCTTCATTTTACAGAACAGTTTAAAAAATGAAATCCTGCTGGAGTGCAATAAGTGCTGCGGGATATAAATTTATCTATAAAGGTTCGCTTTTTGCTGATTTCAAACGTTAACAGTTGCAATTATGGTATCCGCTGTATACAGGATTATTTGTTTACCAGTAAGGAATACATTGTTGCATTGTTGATACTGACCGGAACTACTGCTTCACAGTTTTCTAGGAGTTTCAGAGGCATCTTGACGATAAGTGCCAACAAGCCCAAAAGCTGAGTTTATGTTTACCCAGCAACTGCCTCCAACGTTCGAATATCACTAAAGGAGTATTTTTGGAAGAAACTGAGATGACATAGTTCCTCCTTCTATACCCTGTAAGAAACTCAGTGAAGACCTCAGTGGCTTTCTTCATACACACTTTCAGACGTAACACTTATGTTCACTCAGCGAACGACCTAGCATACTACACCTAACTTCCACAATATTTAGGTTTCAGAATAAGATACACAGACAAACACATGGAGTTGCCATGGGATCGCTAAAATTGTGTCTACAGTGTTGAAAGCGGAACATATACATAATTTCGTCACACATGAATTCAATAGTCAATGCAATCCAATTCATCTATGAATTAGAAGATAGCGAAGGAGAATTAGCGATGTTGCATTGCTGAATAAAATGGAAACAAGATGTGAGTTTAGACACTAGTGGTGTAGTGGATAAAGCGCTGGCCTTTGAAGCGATCGCTCCCAAGTTCGAATCCCGGTGGGAACAACATCACTCACTGGGAAGCAGATACATCCAGCTGACGAGTCCCAAATAAGACGAAATACGCATCCTGGATTCTACTGTCAGCCACGTTCCATACTTAGGAAACCAGGTACATTAAAGACAACTTAATCACCGACAGTTACCCTCACTAATTAATTAATATATCCCTTAAAAATCCTAAGAAAAATATAAGTAACACAGCTATTAATAGTAGTAATAACAGCAACAATAATAGTAATAATAGCAGTGGCAATACTATAAGTGGGGAATCAAAAACCGTACAAAGGAGGTACCTAAAAAAAAACACTACGTAGAATTGTCAGTAAGGCTGGCATTAGAGTGGCATTTAAACCGACAAACTCACTTTGAAATAGGCTTTGTAGGTTAAAAGATCCTATTGACCCAATTAAAAAGAGTAGCTTAGTTTACCAAATCCCTTGCAACGATTGCGAGGTCAAATACATAGGTCAGAGTGGTTGATCAGGGTCAATTAGGCTATCATGACACAAAAACCTAGCTAGGTCAAAATTGGTAGATCCTAGTAAGGTAAGGAATTTAGAAAAAAGCTCAGCCATAGCTATGCATGCGATTACACAACCAAAACTAACGTAACAGAGTGGAGGGAGAGATTGAAAACTGAATCTTTGTTTACTGAACTAACACCTAGCACATGCAACAGGAATGACTGAGCACCTATTTCGGATATATGGAAAATCTTACTACCCATCTCACAAAGAGACGAAGAAATTAGGACTATACAAAGGATATCTCAAAGTTGTGTAGTTATCTTGATATGACTATGGACAATAAATTATGTCCGAATCGCAATCCAGTAAACAATACTGTTACACTGTGATAAATCTAATAAATCAATAAGAAGAGATTTGAAATAAGTTATTTTTTAGTAATTGAATAGATACACTGAACAGGTAGGCCAACGCTACAAAAAGTAGCATGCCACTACTCACCTGTATCAACTTCACTTAACCACTAGGTGCGTCGGTGAACAGGAAATTGTTCTTGAAAGCTGAGAAAATCAGAAAAAAGATATCGAGGGCACGTATTTCAAATGTCTGTAAGTATATTACCTTCGATAAGATTTTTACATTTTACTTCACATTCCTAAAGAACTATCAATCCATACGCTAGTAATAGGGCTTGGAACAACCATACAGTAAATTAGTGTAGTGGGGTGACTAAAAACTAAAACTATTTTCTTTGTTTATGAAAAACTTACATCACTATTACGTTAGTCCTCTGTTCTTATCAGTTCTCTTAATATCTTTCACACCTTTAATTCGTTCATTACCTTCTTTCAGAGTTTTATTCTGATTGCTTTTACTGATATCATATTTTGCTTGAATTCCCAGTATTGGTTGGTTGCTAACTGTAGAATTTGTTTGATTTAGGTAAGATTTAGAGTGTGGTGGTGCAGATGCATTTCGAAGGTTAGGATATCGTGGATTTGTTCTGTCATACTTTAGATAGGGTTGACTGTTATCTTCACTACTGAATACGCTTGAATCTTCAAGTTCAGTTTCGGTTCTGTGGAGCTTTGGTGAATTAGTCAACTCGCTAAAATAAAGTAAAACATACTTGGCCATGTTATACATTTTAAACAAACTAGAATGTACACAACTTACTTCGTACTTGCTAAATAAAACCGAGAATTCCCGTAAACAGTGAGAGCAAGCTTGAGATTAGGGAATATTACGTAACTGGTCAGGTTAGAAACCACTTAAGTCTAGAAAGGGGTATTCTGAAACCCCAAAACAACGCAAGATCATCCGTAAACATTATTGGGAGTAGTGTACATGCCCTGACATTATTAATAGTTGCTTACTGCACAAATCACGCCTCATTTCCAAGGATTTCAGTGAGTAACAGATCGAACAACCAAGGCCAATGAACAAGCATTCAACGTTTTATATATTTTTGCTGAGATATTAAAGAAGCTCAAAATACTTCGACAGCATGATTGTGTGTTAGATAATACTGTATTTTCCTAAGATAACGATTGATCAGAAGAGAATGGAACTCATATTCGTAGTTATTGAAATTTATTCTGAAAGTGTGCTACACTGTTGGTACTATAGAACAATGGAAACTTGAGAGCTATTGAAATTACTCTTGAGAGGTTCAAGAGCGACAGTCTGAGAAACGATATTTTAGTATCTCAATGAGTTCCTCATCAACTACTTTTCAAAGTTGTCGTCACAGAAGCGATGTCACTCATAAGGCTAGTGATCAGAGAAGTGAAAATAAAAAATACAAGGAGTAGTTATACATTATTGATAAGAACTGTCAAAATGGGTTCCCAGCAGTTTATTGATGGGATAAATCTAAAATTATTTACAAAACATTAGTGCCTACAGGCATTACAGTGAATGAGTATTCGAGGTGAAAACAAAATGCGCAGAAAAAATCAAACATTATTATTCATATTCGTTAGCCGTGCACGAAAAAAGTAACAGGAAAACAGCAGCACCTCACCTAGACTGCTAGTTTTACAAAAAATCAGACAAGTGCTCCACTCTGATGATCAGTTATCTACATGTCTAATAGAAAGAGACAGAGACTGACGAAGCAATATATAACCCAACACGCAATTGAATCGCATCGGGCTGCATGACTATGCAAGATGCAACAATTTTTCAGTATTCCATGGTTTTAATTGTTTATTTATCTTATGTAGGTTCATTATGTGATAAAAGATAGCGGCTGATGATGCTTGACACAGGTGATGCTATCTTATGTACCGAATGAAAGCGTTAAATGTAAGCTATTAGATTCCAGTATGATGTTTAGCATAAGGTGTTTTTTTGTTGAAACCTTCACATTCTCCTTTACATCATATTTGAAGGCCTAAGCTTGGGGTTAGCAAGTTTGAAATGCCTTTCAACTTTAGGTAGTATCCTAGTATACATCAACCTTAGATATATACCATAATTACTCAGATATGGTTTCACAAAAATTTCATCGTCAGTAATTGACGCATACCTAACTGTTTAACATTTCAAGTTGACTTACTTCGTTTTGTTATTTACTGAAGTTTCTTTTTCGAGTAAACCACTGTCACACGAGTGTATACCTAAATCTGTAATTTTTGGTTTATTTAACGGATCTGGTTCTTTCAATGAAAATGATTCCCTCTTTTGCATAAGATTTTGTAAGATTGATTGTTCATGAGCTTTGCGTAAATTCATTGCATCGAATGTAGAGCACTCTTGTTGCTTTCGCTGTTGGTGAAACTGTAAGTTGTGATAATCGAAATTCGGCTTGCTGAAATACTGATCATCATTAGAAATAGAACTGTGTAGCTGAACATAATCAGGTTTGTTGTATATGTTGGCCATGAAGCTTAAGTCCCGTTGAAATGCATGACTGACATCACTGATTTCGCTTGCAGCTCTTGAAACTCTCGGTAGACGGTTGAATAAATTTTCAGTTGGCAAACTAAATTTCACTTTAGCTAGTTGATTTTTAGTGTAATTAAAATTTGAAAACATTGGTGAATTATGACTTTTTGTATTTCCTTGAGATGTTTCTTCGAGCATTGAAGACTTGGTTAAATGTTCAATACCTGCAAGTATACGATATTTTTCCACCTGATTTTCAAGAGCCTCAATTCTATCGGTCAAGTGACAAACTTTCATAACGCCTTGATTCCTCACCTACAATTAATAATAAATATGAGTAGACTTTAGAAGTTATTAGAAATGAGATTTTTGGTAAAAGCTTTAATGAAACACTTTAATTTCGAAACATATTACTGAATTTTAAAATTACGTCTGGACAACGATGACATATTTACAAGTTTTAAAAGATGAAACAACTTCATACTCATTGCACTTTCTTTTATTTCCTTCGGATATGCTTTTGTTTAGCTAAAATTAAGAAGAGTTATGTCTGTACTTTGGTTTCTTCTTATATGGCCATGTATTTATTGCCTATTCCTCAGAAATCCTGTTCAATGCTTTCATATCGTAAAAGGGGTTAATAAAAGCATTTGAAACAATTGCGAGTATTAGTTACCAATCATTGAAGTTCACTGATATGGAGAGAGTCTAATGGAGTCGGGAAAACACTTTTCCAAACCTCTTGAGCGCATGAGTTCCAGGATGCGCATGGGAAAAAAGTAGCACATAAATCAACTCTGATGAATGAAATTCAGCACATGATATTAGATTACTATATATATATTAAAATAGAACTCAAGCGTCTAAGGAGTTGTTTCTTTAAAAACTTGTTTCTATCTAGACGTCATCGCAGCTTCTCAGCCTTTTCTTCCATCTTGATATGAATTTGATAGATTGCACAACGGATTACTTGATTATACTTGTTTAGAACAGCGAAATCAATCGAACCGCTTCTGTAAATGTAGATGAGTTGGTGCAAATGATATCTACAGGATAGGTATTGAAATGGAGTATAGGACTTTTCAATCATTCTGCGAAACAACGTTAAGGGTATCTAGTTGATTGTGACAATTTGGTTCATTGGGTTAAATTTCTACAACCATAAGAATGATAAGTCTAGATTAAAACGTGAGGAAGGAATTTCAAGTTCTTCCATCACACTAATTCCAAAAAATCTATGTGAAATAATTTTAACTACTTATCTTGTTAAAAAGTAACGCCAACTGACTTGTAGTATTTTTGTTACAACCTATCTCACATGTGGTTTCACTCCAGCGATTGGGAAATTTAAGTTTACCGCGGATATTTCGATTTTACGTGTCGTTGAGAGTCAAACAGTCAACTAGTTAAAGAACTTTAACCAAGATGATTGTTGCCTACAACTAAGATATACACTGTTGTATAAAACTGTTAGTAAATTCTTTTTTGTGATGAACAGAGAACAAATATTTTTCTTGAAGAAAAAACAAACTTTCATAACCTATTTTGGGTTATCCCTTCCCCTTCTTTAATTCTATTCATTTCTTAATTCATTCATCTTGTTTGTTTGTTCCTTCTGATCAAATCTGATGTTTCAAATGTGTGGTTGTCTTGACACAACCAGACATTCAGACGAAGAACCTTGCATAAAAATGGATCACTTTTCGCAGCAACAGTTCAGAGCAGCGAGCATGAAAGAAGTGTTCAGGAAACCATGTGTTAAGGGAAGAAATTGTCTAACAGTGGAAGGAATAAGGAGGTTAAGGTTGACAGGTGTCAAAGTGCTTAGACATTTTGCCATTGTGGTTAATTTTCTCTAAGCCAGCAAAAGGCCCTAACAACTAAGTACTACCATCTCTGAGACCCTAGCCAGGTAATCAGCACCCCTCTTTAAAGCTTGTGACAGTAGTCAAAGACTTCATGGACTGATTCAAAAATTTGGACTCATCCTTATGTCAACTTCTTCCAACTCCATCCTATTTCGGCTAAATTAGCCCTTCGAGGTACATAGTTACTTGGAATGCTCGATAAGTATCCCGGCAATCTCTGTTGTTTAAGGCTCCCAACTTTATCGACTCGATTGTCTTGCTCGATCAGTACTCGTTGCCAAACCTTGATGTTGCCAACATGATGATTCAACTGCAAGAAGGCGATGCTACGACGATAACTGCAGTCAAGAACGTGCACCTCCTCAAATAATTTTTTTCAGTAGTTAAGTTTCATAGGCTTGCAGCAGAGCACACTAGTTGTTGAGTGGGTAGTATGATGCCTCTCATGCTATTCAAACTCCTATTTCGAACTGGCAGTTTTTCTACTATTTCTGCCATACTTTGATAATTTTTATCCTGAGAATATCAGGATTATTGTTTCATGTCATTTATAATCCCACCTAAGAAACAATCAAGCGCACTATAAATAGGCATCATGATAGCTTCATATATTCACCATTTTGTTACAGAGAGAATGGAATTGTTGAAGAGTTATTTTTTCAACGAACTAACCACTTCTCGTTATGCAGAGCCTCAAGTTTATCTGTGCTTGGTTTGAGAGATCGCCAAATTCACCGAGACAAAACTCTTTATTTTGACTTGGCCAAATTGTTGAGGCCTGTAACATCAGGTGACGACATTCTACAGCTGATCAGTGTCACTTATTTATCAACATACTTTAAGCAAATTGTGGCAGAAAAACTGTTTTGCATCAAACCTGAAACCTCAATTCAATGGTAAACTTTACTATCGTTAGAATAAACCAGAAAAAGATTAAGGAAGAATGGTGATACAGTATATTGACTAAGAGGTTCTGACTAATCAGTTAAATGATAGCATTCGCGAGGCAAAACTAAGATTTCTGCAGTTTAAGCTGTAAGCTCAAGTTTCCTGAAGGATTAAAAATAGAAAAGCAGCACTGGTTTGCCTTTTTTTACATCGTTTTCGTATCCTAAAACCTATGCAAGATATTTTTATCTACGGGCGAATAGCCTGAGATGCAATGAAGGATGAAGAAAACTCAGTGTCATTGATTATTGGTGATTTGGTTATTCGTAGCGTCATCACTTTCTTAACTAAACAACTATTAGTGCAAGCCCCTAAAAGGCTAAAATTAAGTAGTATAACCGACGAAACAACGATGGATAGTGACTATCAGTGGAATTCAAGACGCATGTTTCATTACACTCACCACATGTCAGATGGTGTGCTCACTAACCAACTTAGACTTGTATCCAGCACCAACCTCTTCAAACGCCTAGGCCTCATCCACTAGGCTGTTTATTTATAATAGTCAATCCTTATATACTTTGATATCTTAACATGCGGATAAAATAGTTCATACGTTTATTTTATATCTATTTTCCATGGAGATAGTTACCTTGAATAATTGTAGCTCATGTTCTCTGGTCAGCCGGTCAAGCTCATACTCGAATTCCTTGTGCAGATTCACTAAATGATTGTAAACAGCCATTTGAAATGTTTTATATTCACAAATCTGTTGGTCTTGCTGCATTTGCCACTGATTTGGTTGCTCTTGATGTTGAGATGTATGACACTGTTCACTGTTAGCAGTTGCACTGTTTATTTCATTATGACCACTCCATACATAGTCCATGTTTAACTAGTTGTATACCAGAAAAGAGTGATTGGAATTCGAGTTAAATATCAAATATCACAATTATTAAAGATATTATATGAAAATAGATTATAATTTTTAATTTATTAGACTATATAGAACAGTTTTAGTTAACAAAAGGATTAGTTTTTGTTGCAAAAGCACTCAGAACAACTGCCATTCCATTCGAAATAATTAGCCGAGAAGAAAATATTTTTCTACAGCATTATTCATCACCCCTGTGGCCTGGTGATTCCTGCAGTTGCAGTATTTCATCTGGTTTTCCAAGAAACGCATGAGGAAGTTGTCCGACTAATGTAAGTCTACTAATACTCACAAGCTACTGAATAAAGTATTGTCTAGTGGTCCTTAGTCACTTGCTGTGCGATGGATTTGCCTTAGTTCTGATGAGAAACCATAATCTATGTGACAAACTAAGCAGTATATGAGGACAAGTAATTGTTGCTAGCATTACATGATGGACAGGTTATGTTGCGCATTAATGGAAGTCAGAAAATGTGGTTTCTCATTTTTCACAGCACTGGTTAAATGGTGATTTGTTCACCTGTTTACCAGTTAGTCCGGGGCTCATCACTTGGTAGGGTAGTGTATTGGACCATCTGAAAAGTTCCATTTTAGTCAAAAACTTCTTATTGATACTTCTGGGATTCTAATGGTTTTTTCGGTTGAGAATACCACCTGGAGATTAGTATCATTTTATCAATGTGGAAAAAGTCCCCTTCGTTGACTAAAAATTTAATGCAACATTTAAGAGAAATGAGAACAGATTTTTAAACTTAAAATAGGCTATTAAACCCTGATGAAAGCATTTACATGAGGATTGAAAAAATACATTCTGTTGTCTCTTATTTAGTGTGTAGAATGTCTGTTACCGCAAATGAATGTTCAGCCTTGTCTTTTTTGCGTCAAAATTTATCTGCTGGCTGCTAACTTCCAGAGTATCCTTAACTGACTACTCGTTATTTTAAAGACCAAACGACAGTTGTTTCACTTTGATAATGTTGCGTATATAAGAATGTCTGCTAATTCTATAACGCATCCTTATGAGGTTTTTGGAATTCATGAGTTTTAAAATTGTTAAGAACGGACTTATTCTGGGGAGTTGATGTTCAGTTCTTTAACCTCACTTATCTTAGGCTGTTAATGGTAACCGGTTGATCAAGGTTAGCTATTTGTTTTGAAATCTTGAAGTTGGGTGAAAATTTTGACTAGGTCTTGTGGGTTGGTAAATTAGATTACATTACAATGAAATTCTCCTACACACTGACGTTACCACTTTGAAAACCTAGCTGCAGTACGAATAACAAATAACTTTTCAAGTGGTTCAGTTTTAGTCAGTATGATGATCAGTCATCAGTTATCCTGCGTCAAAATAGACAATATCTGGATATGGAAAACAAGCAGAAAAGTGGTTGACTATCAAATGAATGAATAAGTTAATAAATGCCACTCTATATAGCTCTCAAACCTTCACTACCAACAAAAGTTCATTGACCAAGTTCTCAATATGATACTAATGCAGTAGACTGCATTTCGATGCTAGCCGTAGAAAGCAATTCATTAGGAATCCCATAACCTGGCCTAGTTTTCAAAAACTTGTAAGCAGTCACTATCAGTGTATTGCTCAGGTTACGTTTACTAATCCGTTAGATTTTTACCGCTCTTAATATATAAATAGAGTGTTCTTTGTCTTTGATTCTCAAGTGTATTGTGATACAGTTAGTGTATGATTCAAGTGGCTATTTGCTCCCTGTTCTTCGCTTGTTGTTTCAACCACTATTAAGCCTATCAGTTTCATAGAATACAGAATTTCACACTCTCTGGTCATTTTAGATTAAAAGATGCATAAAAGCAGTAAAAATAATAGAATTAGCTCACTAGTGAATTCAGATTAAAAAAGTTCAAGAATCACCTCTTCAGCATAATGCATCCGTCTTGAAACAATCAGATCAAAGCAATCCTAATCATTTTAGTCAAGCTAAAGTATCATTCAATCGAAACACGTTGGCTTTGCCAGTTCATTCAAACGAATATGGTGAACCAATCACAACGAAGTGACATCAACGTGCATCAAGAAAACAAAAGAAAACAACTAATCGCATATTTGCTCATCTATCTGAAGAAACTAGAGTTAGGAAGTCGACCAATAAGGTTTAACATATGCTTGGGCACTCACTGATCGATCAACAAAAGCACACTCTTGCGAAGTAACATGTCATAAATGACTAAACAAATGAATCACTTCGTAAACTTGTAAAGATCTGCTGCACTGATGACAGTGTCTAGCATGACATTGAAATATTTGTCAACAAAAACCTGAACTCAGAAAACTGTTGGCACGGAACACTCACACCCAAGCCACCGATATTGACTATAAAATCAAAAATACAACTGAGACAGGCTGGCTGGGCGGCTTCAGAAAGAATAAATCATGTATCGATCAAATTACGAAGCTACGCATCATGGAACAAAGCACAGAATGGCAGTCAACTGGATCTTTACCTCAGGTTTATCGACTTTAAAAAGGCCTTCGACAGCGTCGATCGAAAGTAATTTGGCAGGTGGCTGCTTCAACACTACGCAGTACCATAAACCTATGTCAACCTCATTCAACGGCTAAAAGCCAGGTGATTCACAACGGTGGGCTCAGTGGTGCGTTTGAAGTGAAGACAGGAGTAAGATAAGGCCTCAGCCTACTACCGCCGATGATTTTTCTGGTTTCGGTCGACCTAATCATGCAGTAAACCGTGAGGAGCTCTGAGAAGAGGGGCATGCCTTAGCTGGACCGATGATAAGACACTAGAAGATTTGGATTTCGCCAATGATGATTTATGTTTAATGTTGCGCAAACTCGAAGATCTACAGGCAAAAATCAACAAGTTGACAGAAGAGGCAGGGCAGCAAAGACGATACTTCTTTCAGGTGAACGTATAGAAGACGGAAGTGATGAAGATACCCAATCAACAACAAGCACCAATCGCCATCAACGGAAGAAACCTAAAGGAAGTAGTCTCTGTCACCTGCCTAAGCAGCATCGTTTCAACTACAAGAGGTGGTTGTGTTACAGTTGACGACGTCAAATCCTGGATCGAGAAGACAGAAAGACAGACCTTCATTGACCTTGAATCAGTGTGGATATCTACTGCACTGCACGGTACTCAGAATAAAGGGTGAACAGGATTCGAATTTTCAACACTAATTCAGTCAAGTCAGTAATTCTTTGTGATGGTTCAGAGAGTTGGCGCGTTACGAAAAGCATTTTCAACAAAGTTTAGACATTCAGCAACAGTAGCCTACGCTCACCCGGTACTGAAGATGAAGATCAGATGGTCAGAAATAATAAACAATAAGGAACTCTGACTGGCTGGCAACGAAGCAGCGAAGCAAGAACCCATCGCCCAACAAGCATGCAAAAGAAGTAAGTGGAGATGGATTGGGCATACACTGAGAAGACCATTCAGAGATATCATGTGCCAGGTCATATATATATATATATATATATATATATAAATGCTAAGCACCTTCAATGAATATTGTCGTACAGTTTACGTAAGAGTAAGGAACCAATAATTTGAAGGTTTTGGGATGTCAATAGTCTTCAAAGACAATTACGTATCTCAGTTTCGCCGTAAAGGAATATTATTCAGTTGCGGAATCGAAAGAAAGAAACTCACGCATTCTGCTAGTGATTTAAGTGAGTATTTGCAATGTACTCACGTCAACTTGCAAATTGTTATAGCCAGATCAGAGTGATATCTATACTGGACAGCTGCTTCTGTCGCTAGGATCAACCTTAGTAGTGCTGTACACAGCGTAGTTCAGCTCGTAGAGACGAACCGCTCAGATGACGTAATAAGACAAAAGTAAGTGGTTTCCAGGTAATCATCTTATTCAATAATGTACTTTATCGGTTAATTACCTATTTGTCTAATACATTACATTTCATGATATGCTTTGGTTGTTTTCTAATGGAAACCATGTTGACCTTATAGTTGGGCAGTTAAAAATCCACTCAACCAAGAGGTATCAACATGGTCCCGGCGATTTTTCAGAGAAACAGCAAACTCATCATCCCAAAATTACGCACATTTTGTTCTAAATATTCTTAGTAAACTGGTAGATCCAGCAGAAACATTTTTACAGTTTCCTGGTCATCTCTGTTACTATGCTAGTTTATGGGTTTTAATGATTATAATCAAAATAGCAGTTAAATAATTGGCTGGCAGTTGACACTACCAACTAACTATGAATAACTTTTGAAGATAATAATTACAGAAATTAACATGCAAAATAAAAAACTTAGAAGTACTTAACGACTGTTTCTTACCAGTATAGAACTCTTTAAAGGTGCTCACTCACAACATTTGTGATAAATCGAACCCCGGACTACCAGGTTCTGAAGCGACTACACTATCATTCAGCCACTGTGTTGGAATCCAACCGTCTTCATATCCTTACTTCTGGTTACCGGTGATGTGTGCTCATTCAGAAATACAGTGATAATCACTTGGCTATAGTTTTGAAGATAGCATAACAAGTGACTTGAGAGGTTAGGCGGTTTATGAAGTAGTCTGCACACACTGAAATAAAAAGTTATTGTATGCCTATGTCGTTGGAATGTGTGAGAAACTTGTAATGCAAAGGAAAAGGTTCATCCGTGGTACACGATGAAGCAGTTTTGTGGTGGGAGAGGAAGGAACTTCTCTCGTTTTTTGCCTTCAGTCATTTTGCTCAGTGTATAATCTTTTAACAGTACAGGAATAATGATGAAGAGAGATGTTAAGTCATGTGGTATGGGGAATTTATGATATTATTCTTGTTACTTGTTACTTGTCAGACTCAGTTATTGGTATGCTTGGCAATAGTTTTATCAGTGGGATCTCTTTTATCCATAAGAATAGTTCATGATGCTTTGTCTACTACGCTGATCATAAGATACTCATTCGGCCTGAAGTGATAAAAAGCTTTCTGGTCCTTTTCTTCATAATATAAGATGTACTATTCATATTTTTGGTAAACTTGTAAAAGTTACCTTATACCTTTCAACTATGTTGGGGGATCAAAGCAACACTTTTTTCTTCTTTGTACTCCCTGGGTAACCTGTCACTGAAAATTTTTGAACTAACCATGTAACTGCCTATTCTAAGTTGACGAAATTTCCCGTTTTCCAAGAATTGACTCCTGAGAACTTAGAACTTCGTTTCAAAATTTTACATGCTATTAATAAAGTAACGAAAAGAAATATCAGAAGTTATTTACCTGAAATGTTTCTGTGGAACTGTTATCAAATGAATTCGATCTCTTTGGATCATTAGGATTTTGTACTGAATCATGATTGAAGGCACCAAACGATTTACCAGGCATTGCTGAAGACATTGATAAACATGATGGTGTTGTTGTTGAATTGTTCAGTGTAGCCTTTGAATCACGTTTAAGTACACCTAACTGTAGGAGACAGTTACAAAGCTGACAGACAACAGATATCAAGCCATAGCTCCAAGGACATCCAGACTGAATTATTTGTCGGCAAAACCATTGTACCAAGGTTTGACCTTAAAAAATTCAAAAAAACATTATCAAAATTATGTTTGGCAATCAAGTGTTCCCTTCAGAAAAACTTTAGATGAAATCAAGTGTTTCTTTCTTAAAGTGCATAGTTGATTTGTAAGTATTGTCTACCATATCCAGTTATGTGGTCAGCTGTTTATATTCTTTCTGCTTTTGAATCATAAAGTGTTCTTTAATGGTACGTTTTAGACTGTTAAGCAGCCTACCGTAGTAATGCTGTGTAGTACATTGAAAAACGAAATTACTTAATAGTTTTTATTTCCAGACTAGCCTGGTTTGGTCAAGACTACAGACTTATTTAGCTGGTTATGTGATAAACGGATCACCAGGAATCTCTCAATTACTTCTCAGTTTGATAGAAGGCTAGCTGGCTAAAATGAAGTGAGATTTAATTGAAAGACACTTACATTGGCTGTCAGTACAACTTATACGTGACTATGTTCCACAGCAATTTCGTTCATCATCGCGTATTTTTTTCTCAACGCTGCGTTATTTGGAAACATCGGAACCGCAATACATTATGTAGAGCATCAAATCATCTGACTTTGGTGTCAACAATTTGAGCAGTAGTAGTAGCATTAAGGTTAGTGTAAATTTTAGTCCTAAGTTAGCCAAAACAAGTTAAGAAGAGTGATTAACAATGTTAGGGTCAGAGGTCAAATAGAAAAACAGTAGCAGGGAATATTTTCACCCACTGACACAACAATCATCTAAAATTACCAATCAATCATATACCAATTCGTTAGGACAGGTTACTGAACCACCTATGGAGAAACCCGGATGGTACATTCCATACTAAAGTGAGATTTGATTTTTATGTTCGGAAAGACATTGAAAGCTTCATGACTAAATCATCCAACATGAAGAGTCAACACTACCAAGATCATTCACTTGACATTCAAACATTTTCCGATATTTAAAAAAATTGTGAAATTATAGAGGAGTTCCTTCTGAGAATCGCTACTTTATTTTTATGTATGGTATAGGTTTGACTAAAGTCACAGTATCTAAATTTTAACTCAACTTCATTTATGTCGATAATGCAACTAGCGAATTATGGTATCTTTTTAAATTGCTATTGCAGTCAAGAAAGTATGACTCTCTAAGAAGTAGACGATGCTAACTGTTGTTAAGAAGATATTAGAGTGGTCAATGTCCACTGAAAATCTTTCGCGTTTACTTCCATTTCTTGTAGTTTGTCATATAAATCAAACTAACGGAAAGTATTATTCACTGGATTACATTTAGAAAACAATATTTGGTTCAGTCATACCAGACGGAAGTGACAAACCTGTAAGGTGATATAAATATACCCTAAAATATGATATACTTTATAAAAAACGTAATATAAAATGAAAAACTACGATGGAGATCCAGTTTTCCACTTTTACTACGATGTTTACGAAAGTGATTTCGAGGTTAACTCTACAGTTCACCCGTGATATGCAAAGCATGTCGAAGGTCAACTGACTTTCAATGCGGAATATATACAAGAAATTATTTTATTTCAAGCTAGTAGTTGTGCTTCTAACATCTATGACTGATAACAAACAAACCAAGTCAGCAAACATTTTCATCATAGTTCTCCTTATTTTGGAAGTAGTCTACTTATTAAACGCAAAATATTTGCAAATTTTTTGGGTATTGTCTTTGTGCAGTAAATTTAATATGTACTGAATTCATTTGAAAAGAAGTCGTTTGTCTGTAAATGATAAAAAGTCTCTATAAAAAGAATATATAATATATTATTATTTTTCCCTTGGGCTCCTAGTGGAACATAAAGCTTCAGTACCACGCCTCCATTGCACTTTCTTCTCTGTAGTCGTTTGAACCTCGTTCCACGACTGCCCACAAACTTTCATTTCGTCCTCACACCTCCTCCATGTCATACTCAACTGGGACGCCCAACTCGTCGTTTTCCACTTGGATTCCACTCGAAGTCCTTGCCTGGCGCGTGATGTCTCCGAATGGTCTTCTCAGTGTATGTCCAATCAATCTCCACTTCCTTCTGCAAATTTGTTGGATATTAGGTTTTTGGTTGGTTCATTCCAAGAGTTTTTTGTTGCTTATTCTTTTTGACCATCTGATCTTCATCTTCAGTATCTAGTGAGCGTAGGCAGGTGTTGGTGAATGTTTGTATAAAGAGAATAAACAACTACAAGCCCCTAATACCAACCTGCAGATCTTTCTATCCATATTCGAGTATTTTATTGCCTTCTTTCGTGGCAGAACGCATACGTAGCACCCATGAGGATAAATTATCCTATCTCATAGTTTATTTGGTGGGGGCTAGCAGTAGTCGAACAATTCCATTAGAAATAATGATATGAAATTATAAGTATCAATCAGTAATCATGGTTGTACAGTTGGAAAATAAAGTATGTCATACGTGAGACAGAGATTAATTCATTCACGATCGGAGCAACAGGAAGTTCTTTAGCTTGTAGCAACATTTATGCTGTTTACACGTATTGTGATGTTAAGCCTTATCTAGGCTGTTCAATTCGCATTAATCGCAATAACATAAAGCGACATAAAATTATGATTTTGTTTCAAAAATCACAAACCTAATCAACACTTATTCACTTAAGTTAGCAACAACTTAACTCCTAATAAGATTCTGTATGAAACAACATTCATAACTTTGCTCACAAACTTTTTTCTCAGCCCATAAGCTGAAGTAAGTTGGAATGCCATCGACAGGAGTTAAGCACAAGGCAAATTACTCGCAGAAAGTCATCAAACATATGACGAAATGAAACCCTTATAGACAGTCATGAACAAAAAGGAAAGTATAATCCTGATATACTTTGCTGAGTGAAACCATCTTCAGATGAGCTCCAGTGGTTTATTTTGTTACCTAAAAATAATAATTTAAATTGGATATATTATACCACTAAATTTCATACATCAGGATATGCTGTTAGACCGAAAGCTTTCATCTTTAACACACCATGGAAAAGTGGATTTCACATAGTCTCATCTTATATTTTTCAAAGTAGCCTTCACGGAGTGCCTATCTAAGCTAGCTAGAAGTCTGACTAGTAAGTTGGAGGATTTAATAAAAGAAGTCATGTATTGAAGAGATGTTATCACTTATCAACTACTTTGCGAAATTCGTTAAAAAGTCTCCATGACCTAATTAGGGAGGGGTTTAAAGCAAGAATATAAATAATAACAGTAACCTAGCTAAGAAGGAATTCAAGCCATCCTCAGTGCTGTTATGCATAGAAGGGAAATCGGAAAGCCTACTTCAAACTCTCGACAACTTTGTGGTTAGGGTGGTATTCGAAAACTTTGCCTGGTAAACTGGTTCAGTAGTTACTTACCGGTCCTAAGCCCGGATAAAGAGGGGAGGTTGAACGAAGGGCTGCAACCCTACCCCAGAAAACCAATCCAACTGCCATAGAAACTTCAAAGCACAGACAAAATATAAAAAATAAAAACAAAATTATTCCTCACGGCAATCGGAGAGGCGAAATGATGCCGGTTGGTGAAAGCCTTCAAGAAGCCAATTGGCCGATGTGTCTTCTCTCCGTCAATGAAAGCGAAAGTAAACATGTAGACATGGAATGTCCGCACAGTGTTTGAACCCAGCAAGGCTGCACAGATTGCAAACGAGATGAGAAGGCTTAACACTGAAGTACTTGGAATTTGCGAAAGCAGATGGAATGAAAATGGACCCTACCAACTGTCAACTGGAGGGTCGGTATTCTACGCCGGTCACCCAGACGACAACCACGAGCACTAGGAGGGAGTGGCTGTCATGATGTCCCCAAGAGCATCGAAAACCCTTATACAGTGACAATCAGTCTCCTCCAGGATCATGACAGCAAGGTTCAGCTCAAAAGGAAAGAAAGTCACAATCATACAATGCTGCGCTACTCACCTACAAATAATGCAGATCAAGAGAAGAAAGAGGAATTCATAAGACAACTGCAATCAACGCTGGACAAGCCCCACCCCAGTTGACAATATCAAAATTCTTATGGGCGGGGTGACATGAGTGCCAGCCAAATTGGGAGCGGACAACACAGCAAGAGAACTAACCATGGGTCGAGAAGGGCTCGGATTTCACCAGACACCAGGACACACTAGAAATCAGATCGACTTCATCTCAATCTCAAGAAAGTGGAGAAACAGCCTACTTGACACAAGGTGAAGAAGAGGAGCAGATGTAGGTTCACACTCACCACTCACTGTCTAGTGCAAGGAGCCTCACTTCAAAATCAAGTTGAAAGCCTTCAAGGAAGCTGGTGATAGACCACAGTTCAAGTTCAACACCCAGAACAGAAACTGAAGTGAAGGACGAAACTACCAAGGAAATCTTCACATCAGTCAGCCATCAAGACAAAATGGGAGATATCGAGCAACATCCCTGAAGAAACCTGTGTGGTTGAGCACTGGAAGTCTTTGAAGGCTGTGTGGAAAGAGACCTGCATAACCGCATTAGGAAGGAAGAAGAAGAGGAAGAGGAAGAGGAAGAAGATGAGGAATGGATCTCGACAGATACATGGGAGGTGATAGAGCAGGGAGAGGAGGATGGTGATGTGGAAGCTGAACCAGTGCAAGGATGACCAACGAGAAGATGAAGTGAACACAACACAACATAACAACACTACACTACACTGGACAAAAAAGTGAAAAGGAGTGCGCGGAAAGACGAAAGACACTTGCATGACACACTGGCAAGTGGAGCAGAACAGGCTGCAGGTAGGAGAGGGAGACTTGACAACACTATATCAAACATCCAGGTTACTACTATCTGTGAAGAGATCAACACAGATGAAACCAATGAGAGATGATGAAGGGAATTTGATTACGAAAGAGGAGAAGCAAAGGGGACGATGGACTGACCACTTCAAAAGCTCTTGAATCGACCACCACCACAACCACCACCACCAGGTGCAACTCGTCCAGAAATACCACCTACAGCCCAGCCACAGAACTACAATTGAACACACACATACTCCATCAGAAGTCG